TGAGCGTCGACCTAGGAACCAGGAGGTCACGGTTCCCTTCTCGGTCGAGGGCACAGGCCCGGGTTGTGGGCTCCATCCCCAGTGGGGGGCGTGCAGGAGGCGGCCGATCCATGATTCTCTCTCATCACTGATGTTTCTCTCTCTCCCTCTCCCTTCCTCTCTGAAATCAATAAAAATATATTAAAAAAAAAAAAAAAGGTGCCATGCCCTAACTGGTGTGGCTCAGTGGATGGAGGTCGGCCTGCAGACTGAATGGTCCCACGTTCGATTCCGGTCAAGGGCATGTACCTTGGCTGCGGGCACATCCCCAGTAGGGAGCGTGCAGGAGGCAGCCGGTCCATGATTCTCTCTCATCGATATTTCTAACTCTCTCCTGCTCCCTTCCTCTCTGTAATAAAATATATTTAAAAAAACAAAAAAAGGTGCCCTAACCAGTCTGTCTCAGTGGATAGAGCATCAGCCAGTGGACTGAAGGGTCCTGGGTTCGATTCCAGTCAAAGGCATGTACCTTGGCTGCGGGCTCGATCCCCAGCAGGGAGTGTGCAGGAGGCAGCTGATCGATGTTTCTCTCTCATCCATGTTTCTGACTCTCTATCCCTCTCCCTTCCTCTCTGTAAAAAACATATATATATATATATTTTTTTAAAGGTTCCTGCTACTACTCCCTCCTCAGCCTGACCCAGGTTCCCAGGGTCAGGTAGTTCCTCCCCATCCAGACGGGGCAGGCCCCCAGGTGTGCTCCCAGCCCTGCTTCTGCACCCACCCTCCACCCACAGGTTCCCCCTCTCCCTGGGAGACCCCCCCTGCTGACCTCCCCCCCCCCACCTGCTGTGGACCCTCCACTCCAGAGCTGTGGGCGTCCTCGGAGGGAAACAACGGACCAAGGTTCCGAGGCTCTGAGCGAGGCTCGGGGTGTACGGGCTCCCTTGCAACAGGCCTGGAGCGGGCAGCACCCGGGGCCAACCCGCCCAGGCTTGCTCCCCGCCCGGCGCTCTCGCTGGAAATCCCCTCCCACGCTCACTCTTTCATCGCCTTCCAGCCCCATAACCTTCCTGACTCACGGGGAACCCTTTGGTCTGGAGGGCGCCCGCTGCCCCCTCGCCCAAGGCCGAGTCTGGGCTTGACGGGCATTTGATCCCCGCGTGGGTCCGGCCCGGACGGGGCCTGTGGGCTCGGGGCTCAGGTCGGGGCCTGCAGGCTCTCCCCTTTTCCCGGATCGTGCTGGCCTCTGGGCGCTCGTGTTTATGGGCAAAGGGGCCTCCCTGGCGTGACCCAGGTCCTCGGGGACCCTGGGCTGAGGGGCAGGGCCATGGGACTGGCTGGCCACCAGGGGGAACAGTTCTCTCTCTTTTTTAAAAGTTTTAAAAAATATGTTTTTGTTGATTTCAGAGAGGACGAGAGAGAGAGAGAGAGAGAGAGAGAGAGAGAGAGAGAGAGAGACCAATGATGAGAGAGGATCACTGATCGGCTGCCTCCTGCACGCCCCCGGCTGGGGATCAAGCCTGCAACCCAGGCACGTGCCTTTGACCGGGAATCAAACCCGAAAGCCTTTCGCCTGCAGGCCGACGCTCTACCCACTGAGCCAAGCCGGCCAGGGCACCCCTGGAGGCTCTTAAAGAGTTTTGCTCACAAGGGACAGTTTCATCTCCGTTCAGAGCCCAGCGCAGGCCACACCACGAGGGCACGCTCATTTCAAAGGAGGAAGACGTGTGACCCAGTGCCCAGCCCTGCGGGACCAGCAGTGTGGCCACCAGGGACCCTCGGGCGTCGCCAGGAGGCCGGGAGAAACACGCCCCTGGGGCCTGGGACCAAGCCCGGGACCCCCTGGAGGAGTCGGACCCCCTGGAGGAGTCGGGCCGCGGTCAGCAGAGTGGAAGCGCGGGAGGCCCCGGGGCAGCGGCTTCGGAAACGCCCCAGGGCCTGTCCGGGCACGAAAATGCCCACGAAGGGCTTTGCTCCGACGACCTGCTTCCTGAATTTTCCTGGCCTCTGGGGCGAGTCTTCCTGGGCCCGTAAACTCAGAGCGTGCGAGGCGGGCGGGTCCCCGGAGTGCGGCCAGGGTCACAGCATCAGCGCCGCCTTCGCCTGGGAGCCACGGGGAGAAGCCGGGTCCCAGGCCCCACCCCAAGCACCCGGCGGGCGGGCGGGCGGCATCTGCATTTTCACAAGGTCCCTGCTGGAAGCGAGCGCTCCTCTGGCGCTGATGGCGGCCCAGAGGGGAGGAGGCCAGAACCACACAGCTGGTTCCCGGGTCGGTGCCACGGCTTGCCTGCTTGCCTGCTTGCCTGTGACGTCGACGCGGCTGCTGAAAAAAATTCACCAAAGCTCAGCCCCCTCTTCTGTGATGCAGGGATCCCATAACCACCTCGGCTGCTGATGTGGGAATCCAATAAGACGGCAGGGGGACCGGCGCCAGCCCCCAGTGCGTGCTCAGTGCATGCTGGCTACTGCTATGGTCCTAGCACAACTCCTCCCACCTCCCCGCACACGGATTCTTTTAAAGGAGACTTGGGGCCCTGGCCGGTGTGGCTCAATGGATAGACCGTCGGCCTGCGGACTGAAGGGTCCCGGGTTCGATTCCAGCCAAGGGCACATGCCTGGGTTTCGGCTCGATCCCCAGTAGCAGGCATGCAGGAGGCAGCTAATCAGTGATTCTCTCTCCTCGTTGATGGTTCTCTCTCTCCCCTCTCCCTTCCTCTCTGAAATCAATATATTTAAAAGGCTCCACAAATGATTCTCATGATTGGGGGGAAGGGGGGAGGTTGGAGATGGGACCAGGGGTGGCAGGAGGCTGGGCACCATCGCGCAGTTTGTCCTGAGGGTTCTCCCCCTGTTGGGCTCACTGCCACCCCCTCACCTGGTCCAGGTGTGGGCCCCTCCCACCCACCCCCACTCTCCCTCCTCCCGGCCTCACCCCTCCATGGGCTCCACGGTCTCTGCCCCCCGCTCCCAGGTGCCCCAGACAGGTTGCCAGGGCTCTGGGAGGAGGGAGGCTTCCTGAACTTGGCCTCCCACGAGGTGGCAGCTCTGCCCCATGCGCCCTCCTGCCGCCCTGCACCCTGGCACCCAGCGCAGAGGCCGAGGGAGGCAATGCCTGAATGGGCACCGAGTTCCTCGCCCCCTCCTGGGCCAGGTCCCCGCGGTGTGAGTGCGCAGGCCCGGTGGCCGGAAACCCTCCCAGGGAGCAGCTACCACCTGGGCCTCCAGGTGAGCCCCGCCCGCAGCCCAGGGGGAGGGGAGGATGTGCGGGTTGGGCGCCGGCCTCCTGCTCCGACGCCACAGCGCCACCTGGCGGCGCGCCCTGCTCCCTGCAAGGTACACCCCCAACCCCACCCCCGCAGGTGCCGGCTTTTCTCTCCAGCCCCCCCCCCACCCCCCACCCCCGCCCCGCCCAACTACACTGCGTTCAGGGGCTTCCAGCCAGGGTCCGCGTTTCACTCCAAGGGGTGCGTCCAGTCCCCTCCCCACAACGGGCTGCTCAGGAAGGAGAGAGAGGCAGGAGGATTGGCCTAGTGTTGGGGTGCAGAGACCTGCTCCAAGCAGCCAGCAGAGGGCAGCCTGTCCTCAGTTTTGAGTCTCAAACCCCCATTCGGGCCTCTCCTGTGGGCCTCCCCCAGAGCAGAAGAGGATCCAGGTGTATGTGGGGAGCCATCCATTCATCCATCCATCCATCCATCCACCCATCCATCCATCCATCCACCCATCCATTCATCCATCCATCCACCCATCCGCCCATCCATCCACCCATCCCTCCATCCACCCATCCATCCATCCATCCATCCCCCCATCCACCCATCCACCATCCATCCATCCCCCTATCCCCCTATCCACCCACCCATCCACCCATCCACCCATCCCTCCTCCCTCCTCCCCCAGCACAAACCCTCCTGGAGACAATCCGTGGGCCACAGCCTGGGTTAGACCCAGAGACCTTGCCCTTCCTGGAATTCAGCTGGACCCTCTGAACCACCCCCAGCTAGGTTACCTGTCAGTCACCTGGCCCGGACCTCCAGTCCTGCACTCCTGATTGGTCCCATACAGGCTTAGGTCCCGCCCCAGGGCCAGGGAGAGGGTCTGCCAGGGCCAAGGTTGGGTCTGGCGGTCAGGGTGTGATGTTCAGGAGGCTTGTTGCTATTACTAGTGAAGTATCTGCTCATTGTTTTATTTTGTTTAAATTTAATATATTTGTATTGATTTCAGAGAGGGAGGGAGAGAGAGAGAAACATTAATGATGAGACTCATGGATCGGCTGCCTCCTGCACGCCCCCCACTGGGGATCAAGCCCACAACCCGGGCCTGTGCCCTGACCGGGAATCGAACCCTGACCTCCTGGTTCCTAGGTCGATGCTCAACCGCTGAGCCAGGCCGGCCGGGCCGTGAGGAATGAATTTCTGTTGCTGATGGGCCACCCGTCCGCAGTGTGTTACCAGACCAGGCTGCACGGAGGAAGGCAGGGCCCGACAGTGCTGGGCGTGGGCGAGGCCCTGCCCTCCATCCCCGGGCAGAACGAGCTCTCGATTTCACAGGGAAGTTCCCGAGGCTGAGTTCCCCTCTCACGCTGGGGCTTTCCGACCCGGGGGTTCCGGGGCCTTGCCGAGCCCCTCAAATTCCAAAGTCCTTGCCCGGCCTGTGTGGCTCAGCGGTTGAGCGTCAACCCATGAACCAGGAGGTCACGGTTCGATTCCCGGTCGGGGCACAGGCCCGGGTTGTGGGCTTGATCACCAGTGTGGGGCGTGCGGGAGGCAGCCGGTCCGTGATTCTCTCTCATCATGGATGTCTCTCTCTCTCCCTTTCTCTCTGAAATCAATAAAAATTTATTTTTTTTAAAAAGTCCACACAGTGACATGCCCAGATGTGGGGTTCAGTGAGAGCCACTTCCTGCTTTAGCGCAAGAACAAACCCCTCCATTCCCAGACCCCCGGCTCCTCCCGCTCATGGGGTCTCCAACCTGCTCCCTCCTGACCCCCCGCAGTGGCGTGACGCGGACCTGACACCAGAGCCCCGTTCTGATGGCTTTTATTGACCAAGTGGGGGGTCAGCTTGAGTACAGCCCAGGCCCGCAGCCCTCCAGGCCCAGCTCCATCCGTCTAGTCCTCTTTCTGTCCCTGGGAGCATCGCGGCCACCCCTCCCTGCTCCTGCTGCTCTGACCTGGGGGCCTGGAAGGGAGAGGTGACGTGGACAGAGGGGGCCCCCGGGAAGGGGAGGGGAGGGCAGCCGGGGCGAGACCCCTGCATGGGCAGGAAGGTCCTGAGCTCGGGGTGCAGAGGGGAGGGGTGTCCAGACGAGGACTGGGGCCGTGGGCCTCCGTGTGAGGGCGAGCGGCATGGCAGCGGGGCGCTGGGCTGGGTGTGTGTGGACAGGGACCCCGGGTCAGGGGCAGAGCCATCTCCCTCAGAGTTGGGCCTCTGATACACAGGGGTGGGTACTGGGGTGTTTCATGGGGACCCCCATCAAACGGGGAGCTGGGGAGGTCAGACTGTGTGTGGACTCTGGGGTTCTCAGACCTGGGTGTTCTCCCACCCCCCCCGGGGAAGGACACCAATTCCCCACAGCCTCAAGGTCGCAACCTCAAAGGTCACAGACTCAAAGGTCATGGCCTCAAGGTCACAGTCTCAAGGTCATGGCCTAGGGGAGAGGTTCTCATGCCTCTCTGTCCCCTCCCCGGCCCTGGTGACTCCTGAGCTGGGGGGACTCCCTCTTTCTCGCAGAGGAGAAGCTCTGGGGTCGGAACCACAGCCTCCCCCCTGGGCCCCGAGATGTGGGCTCAGATGATGGTGGATGCTCAGCTGAGGAGGCTGAGAACGGAGGCCTGCGGGCGGGTGTGGGAGGCTAAAACCACGGAGACTCCCGCCGGTGACGGCGCAGACCGCGGGCAGGGGGAGCCCCTGAGGGGGGACCTCAGGCTGCCCCCAAACCAGAGGGGGCCAGACACCAAGCTCCGGTCACTGGCGACGTGGGTGGGGCAGGGCTGAGGAGAGGCGTCCGGGGGTGGCCGAGGCTGCGGGGAGCGGGTGGTGGAGACGGCACATGGGGGGGCGGGGAGGGCAGGCGGCCTCACTCTGAGTGCACCAAGGCGCCTGCTCCCTGCCCGAAGCCGAAGCCCTTGGGCCCGAAGTTCTTAGCGTAGCATCCTGCGGAGAGAGAGACCCCTGCAGACACGCCACCCCGAGGGCCCGCCGGCCTCTGCGGCAGTGACGTCCCCGCACCCCACCTCTGCAGCCCCCCAACCCCACAGCGAGGAGGCTCCTGGCCCCGCCCTGTCCATCCCCCTCAACAGAGAGGACAGCGCTGTCTGCGGGGACAGCCCTGGACCAGGGCCGGGCACTCGCTCGGCCCGCCCAGCCCATGTGCCACTCAAAGGTCACAGACTCAAAGGTCATGGCCTCAAGGTCACAGTCCCAAGGTCATGGCCCACAGGCTCTGGCCAGGCCTCCCTCTGGGCTGCCTCCTCTGTCAGGTGGGGCGTTTACGAGATGCTCAGGGCCCCACCCCAAGGCCAGGGGCCGGTTTACACAGAGCCAGGGCATCGCCGCCCAGCCCCCGCCCCCTGGGCCTCCAGGCCGGGCGCTCGATGCCACACCCACCTTTGCAGTAAATCTCGCCGTCCTTGTCGGCCAGGGTGGTGGACTCCAGGCCTTTGCCGCACTTGGCGCAGCGGAAGCAGGACTTGTGCCAGGACTGCGGGGGGAGGGAGCCCACCGTTAGTGCTGCCCCCGGGGACGAGGGTGACCCCAGCGCAGGTGAGCAGGGTCTCCTGCAGGCCAGGGCCCTGTCGCATGCCTCTCTGCACCCCTCTCCCACCCTGGTGACCGGTGCAGCCAGCCGAGCCTCCTCCAGACCCATGGGGTCAGCGGGGTGGGCACGGGCTTGCCCAGGCCCTGCCCTTACCAGCTGCACGGCCTCAGCCGCCTCCTCCTCTGGGGCCTCTGCCCACCTGGCAGAATGAGCGTGGGAACTAGGTACGCGGGGGCTGCCTGACCTCTGACCTTTACAACGGGGGGCCTCGTTCGCCCAAAGGAGAAGGAGCTGGCGGTCCCCCCCGCCCCCAGCAGCCTTCCTGGTGGGCTGGCCTGGCCAGAGGGGCCCTGAGCCAGTGGCGCCTGGTGTGACTCTGGAAGGAGGACGGGCCTGTGACGTGCACTGAACTCGGCCGGAAAGGCCCACAGAGGAGCGGGGTGTGGGGGGGGACCCCCGCACAGGGCCCAGGGGGGCAGCCTGGCCGGGACGGAGCCGCTCGGGCTGGAAGGCCCCTCAGAGACCAGCTCCAGCGGCCACAGCCGCGCAGGCTCAGGGGCGGAGGTGCAGACGGCCCTGCAGGAGGCAGGCGGCACCAGGCCCGACAGAACCAGGCCTTTTAAGGGCAAAGGGCCTCCCTCAGCGCAGCCCCCGTCCCGGGCTGGAGGCGAGGGAGCAAACTGGACCAACTCCGACTTCCTGGCCGCCAGACCTCTACACCCTGCCTCCTCCTCCCAGAGATGGAGACACGGGAGGGGGGCCCCCAACACCCCAACCCCAGCCCCTTCCCAGAGCCCTGCCCGGAGCTCTCCAAGCTGGAGGAGGACTCACGTGCAAACCCCCCCCCCCCCCCCCGCTCAGGGCCTCGCCGGCCCCCCCAGTCGGCACCCCCAAATGCCCTGCTCCTTAAGGTTTCTTTCTTGGCCCAGGTCAGGGAGGGGAGTTCCTGCCTCAACACAGAGCCTGGCCGGCGTGGCTCAGGGATTGAGCGTCCACCTATGAACCAGGCGGTCAGGGTGCGATTCCGGCCAAGGGCACAGGCCCGGGTTGCGGGCTCCATCCCCAGTGGGGGGCGTGCAGGAGGCGGCCGATCCATGACTCTGTCATCATTGATGTTTCTCTCTCTCTCTCTCTCCCTTCTTCTCTGAAATCAATAAAAATATATTTTTAAGAAAGAAAAGCGACAGCCGGACGGGCCAAGTCCCGGAACCCACGTGTCCGGAAGGTGCGTCACGGGCCCGCCTCCCCTCCTCCTCCTCTCCCGTGACGGGGCGGCCGCCTTACCTTCCCGGCGCCGATCACCTTCTCGGCGGCGTACACGGCCTGGCTGCAGCGGGGGCAGCGCTCAGAGCCCCCGATCTTCTGGGCAAACTTGGAGGCGTTGGGGTTGGTGGTGGGCCTGTGGCCAGGAGCCCTGCAGGAGGGAGGACGAGGTGGGTCTGCATCGCGGGGGCACGACCCCGCCTCCATCTTACGCGGGGTGGGCAGGGGGCAGCTCTCCGAGCCGGCTACAGGGCCATGGCCGTGGGGAGCTCTCAGGTGGTCTCCCATGTCCCCAATGGGGACACCCAGGGCCCCACAATGTTATGCTATTTCCCCGGAAACACCCTACGGCCCCCAGTCGCCTGGTTACCAGCGGGAATCATCTCACACCTCGTCACTGAGATCCGCCCGCCTCGTCCCCATTCCCGCCATCTGTCCGCTCTCGGACTCTTTCCGGGACAAACCTGCTGACCAGTCATTTCCCCTGGGTCACGACCTTGGCTGGCACGTGGCAGCTCATTCCTCCCGTCAGTCATTTCCGTCCGTCCATCCCCTGGGGCCGAGGAGCCGGCCGGGGTGGCTGCGGACGGGACCACTGACAGCAGGTCAGGGGTCAGGGGTCACCGGGTGCCAGGGACCTGGTGGCAGACGCCCTGCGGCATTCCCAAGGGACAGATGGCAGAGGCCGGCCTGGCTCAGACCCTCACCGGCTGGGGACCCCGGACAAGTCCCTGACACTGGGCTGAGTTTTCTCATCTGTGAACAGGGGCCCGGCCGGCGTGGCCAGGGGTTGAGCATCAACCTAGGAACCCGGAGATCAGGGTTCGATTCCCGGTCAGGGCACACGCCCGGGTTGCAGGCTCCATCCCCAGTGGGGGGCGTGCAGGAGGCAGCCGGTCCATGATTCTCTCTCATCATGGATGTTTCTCTCTCTCTCTCTCTCCACGAAGACCCTGGAAATCGGCCTTCAGAGCCGTCGATGCGTAACTAGCAGTGGCTGAGAGTGTCTGGGTGGGTGGGGTCCCTGGTACTCACTCCTCGTGCCGGATGCCCAGCGACTCCCCCTTGTCGGTGCTGAGCGTGCCGGCGCCCTGCCCGTAGCCGTAGCCCTTGGGCCCGTACTTCTTGCCGTAGCAGGACCGGCAGTAGATCTCCTCGCCGTGCACGGCCACGGTCGTGCTGTCCAGGTTCTTCTTGCAGACCACTGTGGGGGGCGGGGGGACGGAGCGCGTGAGGCCCCCGCGGCTCTGCCTCAGCCCCCACCCAGCCCTCGCGCCTCCCCGGGTTTGGAGGAGGCAGCAGCCAGGCTGAGCCCAGCCTCAGGGAGCCCGGGGAGGCCTTCACTCTGCCCACGAGAAAGAGACCACGTGTCCCGTGTCCCGAGAGGAGAGGAGAAAAAAGACAGGAAGGAAGAGAAGGGCGGGGCTTTCCTGCTCCCAGCACTGGGGTCCAGGGGGGACCATCTGTGTCGACTTGGGGGGCGGGGGTGCAGGTGAAGCCATGCGCCCCAAAGGGAAGTTTAGTATTTATTTATTATTATTTTTTTAAACACATTTCCTTTTTTTTTTTTAGTGTATTTTTATTGATTTCAGAGAGGAAAGGAGAGGGAGAGAGAGAGACAGCAATGAGGAGAGAGAATCATGGACTGGCTGCCTCCTGCACGCCCCGCACTGGGATGGAGCCTGCAACCCGGGCCTGTGCCCTGACGGGGAATCGAACCCTGACCACATCGTGGGCCAAGAAGAAACCTTGAGGAGCAGGAGCACTTGGGGGTGCTGATGGGATGGGGGGGTGGAGGAGTGGGGAGTGGGAAGGGGAGGCCCTGAGCAGGTGAGTCTGGGAGGTGGCAGGACAGGGCTCTGGGAGGGAGAGCAGGCAGAGCAGAGCCCGATGGCGGGCGGCTGTCAGCAGGATCTAGAAGTCGGGGCTCCGTCCGCACGGCAGGGAGCCCCTTGAGGACCCACTGCAGGCCCTGGGTCCCCTCTGGCTGAGCTCCCGGGGCGCCTGCCGGGGAGACCCGTGGGATGAGACCCCTCCTCCGCCCGCTGCCTGCCGGGTCCTGGAATTCCCAGTTCGTTCAGGGTCTTACAGGAAGCGAGTCCCGACTTCCCACCCTAGAAGGGAATGCTGGAGGCCTTGGCCTGCTGTTCCCTGCGTCCGGAGCCAAGCCCCAGGGAGGCGCCGGGGAGCTCCGTATTTGGGCTGCCCCGAGCGCTGGAATGAGGTGGGGATCTCGAGGGCAGGACAAGAGGGGCCTTATTTAGTCTGGAGTCTCCAACCTGGGGCTCAGAGGGACAGGGGCTGGCCCTTTAAAGGCAAGAGGGGGCCCGGTTACAAGGAGCCCAGCTTTAAACCTCCTGGGAGGGAGGAGGGAGGGGGGAGGGGGGAGGGGGAGGGGACAGGCAGGGCTTCTCCGGGGCCTTCTGTCCTCCCCACGAGTTGGAAGGGACAGTCGGCGGGACACGCCGAATCCCGATACTTAAGGAATGTCCCGGAACCAAATTAACGTCGTAGGACAAGAGCTGAGGAAGCGGGTCCCTCACTGAGGAGCTGAGCATTCCTGCCAGCTGATCACATGTATTATGCACCTACTGTGCGCGACACACCTACTGTGCGCGACACACCTACTGTGCACGACACACCTACTGTGCGAGACACACCTACTGTGCGCGGCCACAGGAGCCCAGAGCAGGCTCCCTCCATCCCTGCTCCCGTGTCAAAGGCCATGCCCCCCGAGTTCGTCTATTGCTTCATCCTGCCTTCCTGTCCGTCCCAGACCCAGAAAGGGAATGTAGGCGCCACGTTGAGCCCAACCCAGAGCCAAGGACCGGAGTGGTCAGGGGGGGATTCACTGGGGACACACTCGGGCCTGGCCAGCCGGGAGCTACGGCCCTTCACCCCAGCCAGGCCCAGGCCCAGGCCCCGCGGCCTCTCTCTTCCTTAGAAGGGAAAGTCCTGCGACTCTGTGGGTTACTCTGAATTCCTGAGCGCGAGCTGGACGCGTTTCACGGCCCGAGGAAAGCGACACCCTCTCCATTCCAAACAGGCGGCTGAGTGCCCGCGGCCGTCCTGGGCACCGGGACCTGGCCCGCCCCGCCTGAGCTCCAATCCCCCAGACCCCAGGGACCTGAGCCGCTCCCCACGCGGGGCTGTCAGCTTCACAACACCCCCTCCAGCCCTGCTCTACCCCTTGACTTCATTTTTTTTTAATATATATTTTATTGACTTGAGAGAGGAAGGGAGAGGGAGAGACAGAAACATCCATGAGAGAGAATCACGGATCGGCTGCCTGCTGCACGCCCCCGACTGGGCATGGAGCCCGCCACTTGGGCATGTGCCCTGACCGGGAATCGAACCGTGGCCTCCTGGTTCCTAGGTCGACGCTCAACCCCTGAGCCACGCCGGCCGGACCACACGGCCTGACTTGCACAACTGTTCCTAATCGTCCACACCTCCTCACGCCCTCGCCCCTGAATTCCTGGCTCCCCTCCACTGCCTGACCCGCAGCCACCCCCACAGGCAGGACTGTCAGGGGGGCATGGGAGGCGGGGAGGGGATGGGGATTGGCCACAGCTGGCCTCCTCGTCAGTGATTAAGCAACACGGGCCCCTAGCAGCCCAGACCCTCATCCTGGCCAACCCCAAGCCCTCTTGGTCGCCCTGAAAACGTAAGCGGCCTGGACATTCCTCAGGAAGTGAGCTGCTGATGATAAGATGCTGCCGTTGGCAGGCAGACCAGGGCTTGCTCGCTCCTCATTCATCAGACCCTGTGGCAGGGGCGGGGCCCTCTCCATCCACCAGGGGAGAGAAGCCTGGCGAGCAGGTGGCCCAACTGGTTCCCACCTGGATCGCAAGGCACCTGGGACGAAGACGCCCCAGACTCTCGGAAGGGTGCTTCCTGTGACGCAGGAGGAGGGCCGGGGGCTGGGTCTTCGGCCCCTGCGGGGTCTCCTCTGTGACCCCGTCTCCCCGAGGTCCCCTGCTGAACACTCGCTCTTCCTTTAGGCGCTTCGCTTCCCAAGCTCCTTGCGTTGGGATCCCCACAACAGCCCAGCGTCCTTGTCTCCTGGGAAACGGCGAGAAAACTCAGCCCGAGAGCGTGGACTAACCTGCCCACCACCACACAGAGGATAAGGCCAAGTCCTGGCCCTGCCCGGCCGGCGTAGCTCAGTTGTGGAACGTCGACCTATGAACCAGGACGTCTCGGGGTTCGGTTCCTAGTCAGGGGGCGTGCAGGAAGCAGCCGATCCATGATTCTCTCTCCTCATTGATGTTTCTCTCTCTCTGTCTCCCTTCCCCTTACTCTCTGAAATCAATAAAAATTTCTATATATATGAAAGCCTAATATGCAAATTGTCCCCTTGGTAGTTCAATTGCTTGCTATGACGTGCGCTGACCACCAGGGGGCGGCGCGGAACGAAGGAAGGCCCCGATCGGCCCTGATCGCCGGCCAGGCCTAGGGGCCCTACCCTTGCACGGATTTCGTGCACCGGGCCCGACACAAACCCTCACAACAGGACTGGCTGAAACCTGGGCCATCCCAGCGTCCCCTCTGCCCACCCTCCAGGGCAACCTGTCGGCTGAAGCTGTCACCTCCTCAAACCCAGATCCTCAGCTCTGATCACAATGAACTGGGGACGCCTCCCCAGGCCGTCACCTCCTGGGAGCTGGGAAAACACGCCCGGCCAGGGCACCAGCCAGCAAAGGGGAGGAGGCAGGGTCCCTGGGCACCGAGGGCCCCCGACCCCTGGGCGTCCGCTGCCTGCTCCCCTGGTCCCGGCTGGGATGGGAGTGAGCCCTGCTGTGGGCCGTCGGGAGCGGGTACCGAGGAGCTTGGGTTCCCCGGGGCCTGTCCCAGGCTGTGGGTGCAGGAAGGGAAGTGACCAAGGTGAGGGCTGGCCCAGAGGGGGGGGAAGGGGCAGCCAGGGGGTGCGGCCGGCGGGGGCCTCCGCACCAGGAATAAGAATCGGCCCGCCTTCCTCTTCCAGGACACGGGATTGTGGCAGAGAGAGAAAGGAGAGAGCGAGTGGAAAGTTTTCCTAACCGCGTCTTCAGAGCCTGGCACGCGGCCCGCGCCCGCCGCCCCCTCCAGCCCTGGCCCTGGCCTGTGTCGGCTTGGAGAGCGGCTTCCAAGGGGAACAAAGGGCCCTTAAGTGCTTCCCGCCCCCCCCCCCCCCCCCCACAAAGCCGGGGCTGCAGCCAAATGTCAAGCTGTTTACATCCCACGGGGCCAGCTCCCAGGAGCTCCGACAGGCCCGGCCCTGGGGTGCCCCCCCCACCCCAACCCCCGTGCCCATGGCAACCGCAGGCCAGGCCTACTCACTGCACAGGAAGCAGGACTTGTGGAAGCTGCTGCCTTCGCACTGCACCTCCTCGGCGAAGTACACCGTCTTCTGGCACACCCCGCACTTCTTGCCTCCTCCCCAGTTGGGCATCGTGAACCTGGGCACAGAGACGGGCGTGAACCCCCAGGACCGGGGCATGCAGGCTGCCCGGGACAGGCAAGCCCAGGAGAGACAGAAGGGGAGAAGGCCGGCCCTGGCTGGTGTTCCCAGTGGTTAGAGCGTCGGCCTGCGGACCTTTTTCTTGGTGGCGACCCCCAACTTTCAGCCACAAAGCATGGCCCGGCCTACCCTAACCATCCCTGGCTCCTGGCTCCTGGCTCCCGGCTCCCGGATGGGCCAGGATACCCTGTATTTAGGACAGTGATACAGAAGAAGGAAGCTGAGGGAGCTCAGAAGAAAGAAATAACCTGATTTTCTGAGAGAACCTTCTGGAAGCAGCCCCCCCCAGTGAGGAGAGGGGAGCAAGGGACTCTGGGTCGTTGTCCCCAGAGGGGCAGGCAGGCCCGGGAGGCGGCCGACAGCTGGGAACACAGAGCTGAGAGACAAAGAAACCCCAGTGTGCGGTGACCTCATCAAGCCACCAAACTCAGCCAAACCCTCTCTGCATTTTCCAGTTAAAGAAACCAACAAAAAAAGAGAAAAGAAAAAAAAACAAACCCCCTTTACTGCTGAGCCGGTCCCTTTATGACCGAACGCATCCCCAGGGACAGGGGTTCCGAGGACGCAGCTTCTGGAATCTCTGTCCCAATCCACCGCCCACGGCTGCCTCAGCTCTACAACCATCAGTGGCTCCCTAGTGCCTGAGAACATCAAGCCCCCACCTCCCCTTGAGGATCCCCCACGGCACAGTCTCCATCACCTGTTCCTGCGCCTCACCCACTGGTGGTTTTTTATTTTTTAATATTTGTATTGATTTCCGAGAGGAAGGGAGAGGGAGAGAGAGAGAAACATCCATGATGAGAGAGAATCATGGATCGGCTGCCTCCTGCATGCCCCACACTGGGGATGGAGTCCACAACCTGGGCCTGTGCCCTGACCGGGAATTGAACCGTGACCTCCTGGTTCATAGGTCGATGCTCAACCACTGAGCCACACTGGCCGGGCTCACCCCCTGGTGATTGAATCGCTGAGTCAGCCCTTCAGTGCCCAGGGCAGGGTCTGGCCGGAGGAAGTGGTGGGTCAGGCCTGTGCAGGGCTAGGGGGGCTGCACGAAGCGGGGGTGGGGGGGGCTGGAGCTGGGGCCGCCATCCCTTCCCACGCGGCTGTGACGGGTTACTGACCATGCAGGCCTGGATGGGCCACAGCTGACGCACGTCCCAGACACACCCGCAGGTAGGGTTTCCCCGAAGGCACCTGACTCTGCACCGTCCTTGGACCCCTCCTGGGGCCTGAGCGCCCTCATCCCCGGGGACAGCCCTCCGGCCCCACAGTCCATCCCGCCCTTCCTGCCATGGGGACTCCAGGGGCCAGCTGCCTGGTTCAGCGAGAGTTCAGGGCTGCTGCCCGGCCGGTGTGGCTCAGTGGTTGAGCGTCGGCCTAGGAACCGGGAGGTCAGGGTTCGATTCCTGGTCGGGGCACAGGCCCGGGTGGCGGGCTCCATCCCCAGTGGGGGGCGTGCAGGAGGCAGCCGGTCCATGGTTCCCTCTCATCATGGATGTTTCTCTCTTCCTCTCCCTTCCTCTCTGACATCAATAAAAATATTTTTTAAAAAAGAGAAACCATCTCAGAGGTGGATGGTCCTTACGTGCCCGGAGGAGACCCTCCTCTGCTCCAACCAGTCAAGCGACACCCGGCTCCATCCTCCATCCGGGGCCCTGTGTCCAGTGGAAAAACCCCACCTCTCCCCGTCCAGCAGCTCACGTTCCCCAGGGCCACTGAGCGACGTCTGGGCAGAGCCCAGGACCCCACCCACCCACGCACGCGGTCCGGTCGGGACCTGTCAGGTGTTTGCGGAGTCGGGGACGTGCTCTCACGTTACCTGAGCCCTGTGGTATCTGGCCAGGTACACGGAACCCAGCCCTTCCCCCAGGCCCCGGGTCGGGAGGGCAGCCAAGGAGAGGGAGGCGGGAGGAGGGGCCCCCGGCTCAGGGCCCAGCGCCCGTGTCTTGGAGGTGGCACCGTCCAGCCCAGAAAGAGACCTCGGTGGAGAGGGATGGTCGCTGGCAGGGGACATGTGGCCGACCGACGTGGAGACCCCGGCTCAGCCTCGCCCCCACATCTCACGAGAATTCCTTATTTCCTTGTATATGGGGTGTCCCAAAATTCACGCAAGATTTGAATTTTGCGTGAGCATTAACAACAACAAAAAATAAAAGCCTAATTTTACTTGGTTTATTGAATCAGATTCTCATATCTGTGGCCCTTTGATTTCAATCCCTTCCATTCGATCAGCATCACCAAGTACCAATGATGGCCCAGGAGCAGGGACAAGGAAGACCAGTGAAGACCACGGCTTTGCGTCTGTGCCAGCAGAGCCGTGGAGGCCGTTTGCCCGATGTGCTATTCCATGCATAACCCTAGACTGTGTACTTTATGGATCAATAAAAGATTTACAATTTTTAATTATAAACCTGTGTTTTCTATCCAAATTACTTCTTGCGTGAATTTTGGGACACCCTTTATATTTGTATTGATTTTAGAGAGGAAGGGAGAGGGAGAGAGAGAAACATCCATGACGAGAGAGAATCACGGATCGGCTGCCTCCTGCACGCCCCCCACTGGGGATCGAGCCTGCAACCGGGGCCTGTGCCCTTGACAGGGAATCGAACTGTGACCTCCTGGTTCCTGCGTCAAAGCTCAAGGGCTGAGCCTCACCCGGCCGGGCTCGCTAGGATTGCTTCGGAGCCCTGAACACGAACGAGTCTCTTCCCCAAGCAGGGAGCCGGCCTCACCCCAGGCCCGTGGCCCCCAGCTCTGCCGGCCCCCCAACACCTGGCACCGCTCAGCTCTGCCCCCTGGGAGCTCAGAAATCGGAAGGTCGGCCGAGGTAGACGCTGGGCCCAGACCCTTACAGGAAACCCCGCGGCCTCATGCGTCTCCCGGAGGAATCGACGGATCGAGTTTCTTTGCTTTCCTCTGGAATGATGCCAGCGTCCAGGGGTAACCATCGGTTGATCCCCTGCTGACAGGTCTGAATGATCTCCCTTTAATTCATTTTTAAAAACAAGCTACCGCCTGGCTGGCCTGGCTCAGCGGTTGAGCGTCAACCTGTGAACCAGGAGGTCCCGGGTTCGATTCCCGGTCGGGGCACATGCCCGGGTGGGGGGCTCGATCCCCAGTGTGGGGTGTGCGGGAGACAGCCGATTGGTGATTCTCTCTCATCATTGAATGTTTCTCCCTCTCTCCCTCTCTCTGAAATCAATAAAAAGATACTTAAAAAATTAAATAGAAGTTAGCACTCTTCTCTTATTAAATAAGAAAGGGTGTTTGCAGCCGACATCCCAGGCAGCTCCATCCGGGATGTCCCAGGTAACGAACACGGGCGGGCACCCTGGGCAGGGGGCTCTGGCTGCCCGGGGGGCTGGGGCGCTCCCCCTGCCAACCCCCCGGGAGGCGTGGAGGACTGACTCCGCCCAGCCTTCCTGGGGAAGCTCTGGAAATGCCAGAGCCTGGACGGCGGCCGCCTCCGTATTTACACACTTTACCATACATGGGAATCCCTGGGCGCTGACGTCAGACGGATTCCTGGGAAGCAACGTCTGCAGCCAGGCGTCACCATGGCGATGACTGACACCTGGGAGCCACAGGCTCCTGTCAGCAGGACCCCGGCCCTCCCCCGCCCCCGCAGCTCCTGTGTGTGTGTGTGTGTGTGTGTGTGTGTGCGCGCGCGTGTGAGCGTGTGGGTGCCTTCCCTCAAGCGGACTCTGTTCCTGCAAACCTGGCCCCCAAATTCAAACACACATCAGACCTGACGAAAACGTACCCACGGGGCCCGGCCAGTGTGGCTCAGTGGGTGAGCATCCACCTAGGAACCAGGAGGTCAGGGTTCCTTTCCCGGTCAGGGCACAGGCCCGGGTTGTGGGCTCGATCCCCAGTGTCGGGCGTGCAGGAGGCAGCCGATCAGTGGTTCTCTCTCATCGTGGATGTTTCTCCCTCTCTCCCTCTCCTTTCCTCTCTGAGATCAATAAAAACATATATATATTTTTAAAATGCCGTTTCCCCTCACCTGGCTGCTCCTGGGAAAAGCTGGCGGGTGACTGTCTGCAAGGTTTGCACGTGTCCCAGCTCCTCCGCCACCAGCCATGCCTACCCCGTTCCTCACCCACCTCTTTCACTGATCGCCAACCCCGGGTCAGCGAGGAGTCCCAGCCTGCAGCTCCGGCCGGAACCCTGGCTCCCAAGACAGACGCTTGCCATTAAGAAAGAAAACACGGGGGCCAGGAAGGAAGGGGCCGGGGCAGACCTGGGGGGGGGAGCCGGGGCAGTGAGGGGGTGCCATGTCACATTTTACTAGCAGCCCCATCACCCGCGGGTGGGTCTGCCCCTCTGTTCCTCCCGTGTCCTCCCCGGACCCTCTGAAGGGACAGGGCTCCCTTCCCCCTCCTCTGGCCCAGACCACGCCCTCTGCCAGATAGACTTCCTTCCCTGTCCGGCCTCCAGCCCCACATCCTCCCAGAGTCCAAGGGTCAGTCCCCAGCCGAGAAGGCCGCCTGAGGGCAGCCGGGGCTGAGGACCCGCTCTCTGGGCAGAGGATGACCACGGCTGAGTGAGAGCAGGGGAAGCTGAGCACATTGACCGCCCCTCGCCCCAAAACCCCACCTGGGAGAGGGGGGGGTCAGGGAGAGGACAGTGGCCGACCCCCGTGTGTTCCCAGTCCCTGCGCTCCACCCCAAAAGGAACTGAGCAGCGAGAAGTCGCTTGTCCGAGGTCACACAAAGTCAAGAAGCAGCCAGTCTGCCTTCCAACCATCCCTCCCCAGCCTCCCGTGCCTCTCCTGGTCCGGCCCAGTGGACAGCCCGGTGTTGCCATCACAGGACCCCAAGGGTAGCCCTCTGGGCTGGGAGGGGCCTGTCCGTCATCCACCCCACAGGTCAGGGCTCAGGGCGTGGGCGGCTGGAGCCCAGGCCTCCAGGGAAGGGCCTGACCTCACCTGCTGCCCCAGGGCTGGACCGTGGGCAGGAGCAGATGACCAGCACAGGGACCTTCAGAATATTCTCCCGCCTGTGAGCGGACAGACACCTGCCTAGCCCCACCGGCCCGCGTGGCTCAGGGGTTGAGCGTGGACCTATGAATCAGGGGATTAGGGTTCGATTCCCGGTCAGGGCACAGGCCCGGGTTGTGGGCTCGATCCCCAGTGTAGGGGGTGCAGGAGGCAGCCCATCCATGATTCTCTCTCATCCTTGATGTTTCTCTCTCTCCCTCTCCCTTCCTCTCAATAAAAATATATTTTAAAACAAAATGGAACACCTGCCTGGCCGCTGCATGCTGGGTAACATATTGCAACTCGCTGTAACTGAGCTCAACACCAGCCCCCTCCTCCCCCTTCAAGGACTGAGGCCACCAAGCACCCCTGTGGGTCATTCGGGCTCGGAAACCGGCCCCATTCGCACCGATTCGTGGGTGGTGGAGGGGGAGCCTTGCGCTTCCACCCGGTTCTTTGCGGAGTAAAAACGCACCCCGTGTCCCCAGGCCGGGAGCGCGAGGGAGCGGGGAGCGCCGTGGGCGTCAGGGGCGCGCAAAGGGGCCCGCTGTGCTGCGGTGGGGCCAGCGGATGGCGGGGGAGCCCGGCGCCCGGTTCAGGGCACGTGGGCGCCCCGGCGGGGAGGGACCCGGCGCCTCCCGGAAAGAGAAGCGCCGCCGCCGGGCTGACAGCCGCCGCTGCTCCTCCCTC